GTGACTCATTCATCGTTATCTTACTATTCGCTTTTATACGGAATTGACTTTGTTTTGCATTTACACCGCCTGAACTGTGGCTAAAATTTTTTTAGGGGTCTGTCGATAAGGCGTTAGCTAAGTCGCGTAGTCTTCGTAGCAAACTCTACACAGCTCAAGAACAAGCTCTAAAAATGCAGAAACTCAAAGAGAACGTCGATCCGGCTATGAGTGTGAGTCAAGGCTGTTTTTCATACATCACTTTTGCTCATTCGCATTTATTTTTGCGCTTTTTTTGAAACAAACTTTCATATTTTACCACAGCAGACGTAATGAGCACATTCATCCAGTTGTTGAAATAATTCCTCTTTCTAAAACTAAATTATTTTAAGCTGGACGAGTTACATGAGCAGTTGCTGATCCTGCAACACGCCTTATCTAACGCAAATTCTCTTCTGCTACAAGCAGAGCAAAGGTTGTCTAAAAAAGTAAGTGTTGATTTTCAACGGAATTGGTTTTACATCAAGGGTAGGTCAGAATCTAGTCTAAAAACTTGTTTTACTTTTTTAGCCTGATGCGGAGTCAATAAGGAAATTGGTTATCAACGAAATGGTTGAAATTCGGAATGTTTTAAAGGCGACTCACCGCGATGCTTGTAAGCTGTCTTCTAGCAAGTAGACGTACTGGTCAAATTGCTCGATTTTGATATATTTGTATACTTTTGTCGTTTCTCGCCTTATTTCAATTTACACTAAACGGTTGTTAGACAGTGAATAAATATTGTTATATTCTTTAGTCTAAAATACATTGCGCTGGGGAATTTGGGAGCGTTTACAGTATTAGGACAGAGGTTCCTATATTGTGTGCCATAATAAAAGTATTCAGTTAGTTATTCTGGACTGTAAAAACTCAAAATTTCTAGAAGAGTAACATAAGCATGAGATCTTTTAAAAAGTTAATCGAGTGCGAATTTTGTTCTGACAACGGGGCATCGCAATGGCCGCGACGGCAGTCAAACGTGCTAGAAGTTGGTTGTGTGTAGTAAATTGGACATTGGATATTGTAGAACTCTTATTCGGCATTTTATTTCCAGTTATTTCAGCGTGGTCTAACTACGTTGATAACAGCACATTTGTGTATGTTTAATGAGGTTGTAAACCGACGTCTTTGGCAGTATTTATCAGTTGCAGAGAGGAAAATTGTTTGCAGTAGGGAAGCAGAACTGATGGCAAATGACATTTCAATTAATTTATTGCTTACCAGCTTTGTTTACTTGGTATGTATATATTCTCTGATAAATAAGTTCTCATACGACAAACGAAGTTTAATTGATTGTTTTTATTATTATTATTATTATTATTATTATTATTATTATCATTATTATTATTATTACTATTATTACTATTACTATCACTATTACTACTACTATTAGTATTATTGCTATTACTATTGTCATTGTTGTTTTTCGTACTAGTAGTAGTTCTGAGTTTATTTATACATGATATCACGTTAAGAGAAATTATTAAGCAGTATTACTTTGGTTTCTTAGCAGAAGAAATCAAACAGTCAATGTTTTTAACAGATAAAAAATAAAGATTATTACTGGTTATTTAATACTGCTTTAGGAGGCCGATGATGGGCATGCCACTGGGACAGTTGCTTTTTTTGTTGCTAAGATGGAGGTCTGTGGTAAATCTCCTTTTGCAGAAAAACTAAAAAAAACTTATGTGAGATTTATTTTCTAAATTAAAGTTCTGATTCTGCTCTGGTTAATGGTTGAAGTCGATTGTTAATTTGTTTCATGTTATTTTGGCTGGGTAGAAAACAGGAATGGTTAATGAAAGCTTCAAAAACCAGTGGTATCGTGACATGGGACTGAGAGACAGTAAAAAAAGTGCCATTTAACACTGATATTAGAGCATTGTAATTTTCCAACTTTGAAACAGTTTTATTAAGGGAGAAATTATCAGTAGATTCTTGAAAAGTGGTGCTCGAAAGTGAAGTTTATTTATTAAGCGCTAATAATACCACATAATCATCTATTTTTACAGCTATACCCAATCGATACACTATTTTGGTCTACGAGACTTTTAAGTTATTTTTATAAATGATTTATGAAATTCTAGACAAATCTTAACTAAATCAAACAAGAAGAGCAGTTTTTGAAGGCAATAACAATGCCAAACATTGTAATAATAAATATTTAACAATTCTAGTTTGTGGACGTAGTTTTTTGCTTGATTGCCGATATATAGGTATTATTAGCCAATCAGTACAGAAAAGTAATTTTTCTGATTTAAATAATTATGATAGCAAACTTATTGCGTAGAAGCAGAGGTTCTGAGGTAGATTTTTAGATTTATCTTATTATTTTTGTTATTGTAATTTATTGTATTTGGCACGAATTTTAGCTGTAATTTGGCAGTCTGTAAGCCAACGGATAGGCTTTGTTTGTCATAAATCACTGAACACAAAATAAAGTGTACGTTTAAATTTATTGAAGAAGAAAGAAATCTTTCGGTTAAAACTTTAGGAGTTCCATACTGTTAAGATGAATTTGTTCAGTTTATTCTAAATGCTATGGATGAAAAAACAATTAAGTTATTGCATAAAAAATCAGCTATGCTCTTGGCCATTTCGTTGTTGTTGTTTCAGCGATAATCAGTAAACCCGGAGAAGAAGGCATATAAATGCGAAAAAAATAAATTTTTTTTAGAGGAGAAGATGTGTAGCAGAGTTGTGTGCAAAAACAAAAAAAAAGTTGGGAAGAAGCAAAAGCAAACAATAGAAACTTGTGATGAAAATATTGAAGCTCACCTTGAAAGCAACACTACTCCAGCAGATCATTGGAGACAAATTGATGCGATTGTAAATCTTAGGCTGTAGTCAACGAACGAGCGTGTAAACTAAGGTTGCCCTCTGCTTCTTCCTTCTTCTCTCCCCCCCGCAGTTGCAAGGATCGGCACACTTCTCCTTTTTCCCCGTTTATGATTTAGCCCAGCAGTGCCTCACTGTAGAGGGAAACCTTACCAAAACCATTCCTTGTTATAAGAAGGATACGGTCCTCACTAACATGCTTTCACAAGTACTATCACGACAGTGACATCGTGAGGCAATTCTCAGCACGAAGTTTTCGTTGATATTTTATACTTTTCTTCCACTCGAGTAACAGCAAACCGTCAGAGTTAATTTACGGGGCCATGTAATATGGATTCCCGGTCAAAAAGAAAACGCTCAGAGTTTTATCTATGCCAATTTAAACCACCCTTTTTTTTTTTACTTTTACATTTACATCATGCATTCTAGGTTCCTCTGCTAGAGAGTTATCACTGACTGGCTTCAACTTGCCTATTCTTGTTCACTAAGAGCATTTTTCATTTTAAATCTTTTAGTATTAGCTGCTTTTGTAGCCCTTTTTATCGCGGGAGTTCTAAATGAAACTTTAGTTTTCGGTCTGTAGACAGGTTTAAAAGAGGAAAAAAAGTAAAAACAATCTCTTCTTCTCCATTCTTCTCTAAACTTTCTTCGGTTTTGTCCTTGCGTCACTTACCCGATGTCTCCCTGCTGTTCTCCCATTCCGAAAGAGGATGAGAGAGTGAGATTTTTTTCACAAAATTGGTTAAAACATTGTCTTTGGGTCAGCCAACTGAAATATTTTTTTCTCTTGATAACAGAGGAATAGCAAAGGGTTGCTTTTTGCAAGTCTGATACTTTTTTCTAAACAAACTCAGGCTATAAATAAGAATATGTTAGGGGAGGTGGAAAAAGTGTAAAAAAAATGGGCTACTATTTACAGTGATAGAGGAGCACAATTGCAGTAACAGATACAGAACTGATAAGGGGCAAACAATAACAGAAATAAATTCTGCATTTATTATTGGTTTTTTTTTTTCTGTTTATATTCATCTAAAGCTATTAATTATTTGATCTGTCAAACATCGTTAACGAGTAACATTGTTTATTACCCAGCAACGGATGTAAATTGATAATTGCTTTTGTATCGTATGTGATGCCATTTTTTTTTTCTGCTACTTATTGCACTTATTGTTTATTCCAATTTTTTCCACCTATAAACTAATTAATTATCTTATCATTTGAACTTAGTTTGTAATAATATTAGGCAAGAAGTAGATTGTTTTAATTAAAGTAAATAATTGGCAATAAAATGAATAAAAAAAACTAATGTTTGAAGAAGTTTACAACCAAGCTGTCCTCTAATAAATAATATTTTACAGGTCTATTCCAGACGTGCAATTTACGTAATCAACGGTTTAGTTTTTTTTTTTTCTTTATCAGTTGTCCAAACATTTATTAACAATTCCAATAAATTCTGTTTTCTAAAGCTTATCTACACGGTTCGCCAAAATACACTAACATTGTGCCTTACAGATATTTCTATTATATTCATCAGAGAATTTTTGCACTTTTGTTTTTACAAACAATTTTAATGCACAATAGCATATAGTTAATCAATCTATTTAATTTAATTTCCAATTCTTTCTTTTTTTGATAAATTTTATGGTTTAAATACCAAATAACCAGTGCACCTTTATCGCCAGAACGTTTCAATGAGAGTCGAAGCAGCAAAATTATAAAGGAAAAAAAACCAAACTGTAAAGCATTAAAATTTTATAAACAGATCAGGTGGAACAAAACTGATTTTTGAGCATTGTTAAGGTATGTTGAATTATCATTACTGCTGAAAAGATGTTGAATGTCTGGAATACTGACTTGATTAGGATCACTGAACAAAACAGAACGGTGAATATATGACTGTAACGATTTTACACTCATTAAGGTACATTACAGGGCAATACATCTTCTACTATCCATTAATTTGTACACTGTTTATTTTGATTATATAAAGGCACTAAAACTGTTTGTAGATTTATGTTTATTTATTTAACAATGTTTTATTTTTTTTTCTTTTTTGTTAAACTAAAATTTTGTTAATTTTTATAACTGACTTTGTTCATCATAATATATCAAGCTACTGGTATGCTCGATACAAAAAAAAAAATTACTTTCCCTTTTTTTCCTCTCCGAAAAAAAATATGAAGCTAGGTATTTGATTTGTTGCTTTAAACTTCAAGTTCTATTCTGAAGATCAAGCTACAACTGTAAGACAATTATTTATTCGTTTATTTTGATATATTGAATTTTTTTTCTGCTATAGCAGAGAAAGATTCTCCTAAACCACCCAATTTCTTAATTTCTAGCTTTTTTTTTGCTGCTGTATTAATTAAAAGCAGTAATCAAAAACAGCTGAACAGATTATAAAATAGATGAAGTTTTGATCAGATTATAAGATAACTTGAAGACTACACATAGTCTACCTAATATGTATTTTATAAAGAACACTTCAATTGCGGGGTACTGTTGAAATGGCACCGTACAAAGCAATATCTATTTGGTTTATAAAAAACGAAGACTAAAAAAATAACCAATAGCTAAGGATATTTGTGGACGAAAAAAAAAATTGGCAAGCACAGTCTTAATATCTTTTT